GTCACTCGAAGGGAAGGGGAGGATTCCATTTGTGGATTTACTATCGGCTCGCTTGGAAGTTTTTCGTGTGGATATTTGACAATTCAGAACACCCACATCCTTAACGCTCCAATTTCTGGCATAGTTGCATCTCACTGATACACGCCAAAAGCCCACTGACGCACATTTACAAACACATTATCACCACCCACTTAAACCCACACACATGTTTGCACTGAAAATATAAACCACTTTACAGCACAGACACAGTCACAGATTTAAAGCCTATTAGTTGCTTTTTTTCACTCGCGGATACCACCAGAATGGAGGTCGGGTGGACAGGTGGGGGGCTGTAGGAGTCCAACATCTGTGTCCCTCTGTCCGTCCGCTTTACCCAAATGGATGTTATTATCTCTAAAAATGTGTTGCTTGGAAACAGCTGAAAGCTTTTTGCTACAATTCTCTGACAGAAACGGTCACCGGGTCCTCGCCACGGTGCACAGCTGGAACCACAGCTGAAACACCCACCATTACTCGTCTTTTTTTGCCTTTTATCTTATCTTCATCTTCATCATCTGCCCTCACACCACCGCCATCATTTTTTCCAACGGATCTTTGGGCGCCCCTCGTCGCCCTCCTCGGCCCGTCCTCTCCTCCACCTTGGAGGGCAGGGGGTCAATGGAGTGGAGCATGAGTGGGTGCCACTATCCTTCGCCGCCGCCACAGGAGCAGGAGCGCAGGTACCAACACAAAGTATCCCTGGTGGTGCGCTACTTCATGATCCCATGCAACATCTGTCTGATCCTGCTGGCCACTTCCACACTGGGATTCGCGGTGCTCCTGTTCCTCAACAACTGTACGTTGGTTCAACAGAAACACACTTACTTTCACTACACTCTGGGTCAATCCTTGGCAATATAATGCTTGACATAAACCCCCAAGTACTGGTGCTGCTTTTTTAGACAGAATTGATCTGGAAGTGTAATGCGTTGTTCATTCCATACTGTTTTTGCTTCATACCATAGAGCTCACTTGACCCCTCACATGACAGTTTTAGCTGCACTTACATTATTAGCATTAGTATATGTAAAGTCACAAACCCCTTTCCACGATTGTGTCTGCAGGCTTGCAAAATGTCTTCTTTTTATCATCTCGAAAGATTTGACATTTACTTTGAAGTGTGGGATGAAGTATTGAATGGCGACTAAATGCCTTTGGAGGATAACAACCTATCTGTTGGCCTTGCTTTACTGTATATGGACAGCAAAGTGGCTCATAAAGAGCACATTTGGGGGCTTAAGTAGTGGTTCAAAATGGATGGTGACCATCACAGTTGTTTCTTGGGTCAAAGAGTTTTCTGACGAGAGGGGTAATTGCTTTAGTTTACTTCTGTTAATCCAAATGCTTGCTTTCATTTGCACCGACCAGTGCAAATGAAAGCAAGCATTCATACTCTTCTATTTATTTCAAATGGAGCCCTACCAAAGACAGGTTCACGCCTTTTAGGTGCTGATTGTTTGCCTTCACAACATGACTTAAATCATTTACCGAAGTATATGACACTTTTATTATTCACCAACAGCACAACTGCAGCTGTTTCCCTCTAGCATTTGCCTGCTTATTTTAACACTTTTTCATTCCTCTCACTGTCTAACAGACTTACACAAGTCTATTTCTGAGTGCCTTGCCAGGTTTGACTGTGTTAAAGGTAAATATCCTCAACTTTCCAAAGTAGGCTATTATTTATGCAAGACTAGTGCCACATAATCACTTGCAAATGATAATAAGGGAGTCAAATGGTAAAATAGGCACTGTCATTCCAAAGCCGCACAATTGGGGCAGTACTTTCAGTGGGGAGGCTCATTAATACTCTTTGTCCGAGGTTTCTGTTCAATGTCAACACATTCTGTTAATCTGTTATCTGGCTGTTGTCTTTGTAGCTACTGTTTGTACAAGGCAAAGTCCTCAAAACCTGGAGGATGCCACTGTATTGATCTACCATCGTTTAGTGGATTTCTGTCTTTCAACCATCATTGTCATCCATTCCTTCTCCTCGGAATGTGTGGACCAGGAGTGAGGAGAGGAGAATGAATAATTTGTAACCTTTCCATATTGTCAATTTCAGCGAGACAGATTCTATTAGATTGAATATGAATCCAGTTAAAGGAGGGCCAATCTTAACCTCTCAGATAACTGAGCGAAAAAGAAACGTGCGCTAGAGAAACTGATGAAGTGAAAGGGGCTCTATTATGCTGCCAAGAACCCTCACCATGTTGCAACACAGACAGCTGGATAGGGTAGTGATAGTGCTCGTAGTGGTGACGTATGTGTGTGTATGAGTGTGTATGAGTGTGCGGGAGGCAACCCCAGATTCGCTCTTTCCATTGTCACCATATGGGATGAATCATGTCCACACACAGTAACCCCCCTCTCACCAATACACTCCCGCATGCCAACAGAGCCCACACTCAGATGTACACCCTGTTTATCATTCTGTATGATTTCCCACCAACCACACCAATAGGGAAGATGACACACATTCACTGATACATACACACACCCGTCTTCCTGCACATGGCTGAATGTCACAGTCAGACACCTATTGATTTGCTGAAGATATAAGGTGAATGATGGCCATGTTCTGACATTCACACAGGCACGGGAACTCACACAGGCTCTGCAAGGTGCAAAGGGAGATGGGAAAGGCTGATATGTTTATGGAAAGACCTTATCTTGTCCTTTCATTATGGAAATGTGACAAAATCGTTTAGCATCGCCCGGCACTCTGTACGCCGACTTCTCTGTCAGCCTATTTCTGATTCCCCTTGAGCGACAATACCTCTGTGTGTGTTAGCTCGCGTGTGTTTAAGAATGCTTACGAATGAGCGCAGCCTTGTGTAGATGTGTTTTTGTGTGTGCTCCTTTACACTCAGTCTCAGCAGAACTTCTTGATTTCCCTCATGCCAATTTCTGTTTCTCTTGTTTTATATGTTTTCATGAAATCCCCCCCAGATGGAAATCAGTTACCGTCATGACTGACTAGGAAACAGCTTCAGCCGACACTTCATTATTCACCTCTAGCACCAGCCTCGCCTCTCCGCACCCCTCGCCTCATTTTTTCTCTCTCGCACACACTTCCTCTCCCTTTCTCCCCCCGAAGCCCCGGCTGTTGACAAGCAATTTTAAGTGAGCCTAAATTTAAAACTCAGCTGTGTCTTGGGACGCCGATGGGTTTCGCAGACATCCTGAGAAAGGCTTCGTCGCAGTGGTTGATGGAGCCCCGGAAAAATGTGTTAGCGGGGTAATTGATGTGATGTGTTTTATCTTCCTCATTATCCCTCACAGTGAAGAGACATTGGAGGGATGGCTTGGAGGCTACACACAAGTGTGTGTGTGTGTGTGTGTGTGTGTGTGTGTGCGTGTGCATTCAGTGCTTTCTACTCTGACAACCTTTTGGTGTTCTTCTTAGTGAGTCAGACAGATGAGTTGTCTGCGAGAGTGGGGATGGAGGTTTGGTTTGGTTGTCCTCGATACTCGGACCGGTGTATCATGACGGCTTTCGAGGAACATATTGTGTCTGTAAGAGCTTTTCCATTTAGTGAAGCTCCTTTTATAAATGATGACATCGAATCATTTCGATGGATTGTGCTTTATGATGGCTGTTTTAATGCCATGATATAATGTAAGAGTCTTCTTTCTTTGGTAATTACTTTGTATACTTTAAAGTGCCATATATATTTAATGTTATCTGTTGGTATTGTTACTCCAATGAATCTGGATCGATGTATCATTCCAATGATCAGTGATCCTAAATTGTTCATACAATGTGAACATCTAGCATTGTTAGTAGCATAGCTTAACAGGGATCGGGAGCAAATATCTAATCGCTTTCCGAAAAAACGATCTGATCTTGTATTAGGATAAAAACGTTGAATTTGCATCACTAGTATCTGTTTTCACTTTGCATATTTGCTAATCTAAACAAAAGGCAGATGGGATTAGTTGTTTAATCAATTGGCCAATTAACACAACACAACACAACTAGTTATTAAAAGTTGTTTTTCTGGTTCCAGCTTTTTAAATTAAAGGATTTTCTTTTTTCCCTTCTCTCTTTATTTATATGTTAAATGAAAAATGTTTTTCAATATAGGCAATTTGAAGACATCCCGGGGGCTCTCGGAAATTTATTTTTCACAAATTTCGGCGAATTGAAGCCTAAACAAACAATGGTAATGTTAAAAAATAATTTGGGGAAAAATACAAGATGGATTGACAATGAATGAATAATTGAAAATAAATTAAAGTTGCACCTCTAACAATATCCTCTATTTCCATCACAAACAAAACATTAAAAACAAACTAAAAGTCTTTCATGCACCTTCTCATATTCCAGCGTTTTGGGGCCAAACTGCAAAGAACTCAGGTTTCATGGGATCTCTCCCCTGAGTGTTACTAGATACTCAGTCATCTGACACTACAGGTCTTGTTTTATGGTTCCCACCGGCCGACAAGCCTTATGTCATCGTCTGCTGGGTGTTGACCAGGAGAGAAGCATGATGTGATTTGATATATTAAGGGGGGGGGGAGAAAGCCTGATTTATTCTGCATATGCTCGCTACAGGGACTAGAGTATATTCTCACTGATGTACTGCATGTCCTCACTGCTGTGGAATTTCCAATCTTATCTTACACTTTTCAACCCAAAACAAAGACACAACCTTGTCCCTGTGTTTCCAATTCTCATGTGATCTTAGAATATCAAAACTCATGCTGTGTGGTTTGGGTGACAAGACCAAACAATAATGAAAAAACAATGATAATGCTATCTCTGAAATGTACTCCTGTCGATTAGCTCAGCTGGGTTCCTGCTTGGCTCAGTCCCTGCATTACAATGTGTTAGATAGAAAAGGTCAAATCTAGCCTATTTTTTTGTGCAACTCAATGACTTGCCCTGCCCCGCTGGGAAATCTGCGAATTCCCCCCAAACTAAAAACCCATTTCTCTCTTTTTATCTCTTTCAGACAAACCTCCTCACTTCACACCAGCCCAGCCTCCTGATGGTAAGTCCTCTGTGGTTTATCTTCGCTTGCCTCCATTGACCGCTTGTGTTTTGCGGTTGTACCTGTGTATAATGAACTCAGACTGGCTGATCCCTGCCTTTGAAGTGGGCTGCCGTCTGTGCCTTGTGTCAGATTTGGCCACTGCGCTTTTTTGTTTCCACACAGTTGGTATGGCGGGCACGTGGCCAGGTCTGCTCAGGGCTTTGATGTGAGAAGGATCTTTTGATTTCCAATTGAAAAATATTGGAGAAAACCGTACTCTTACAGCTGCAGTCTTTTATACATGCAAACAATATTTTTGATATTTTTCAGTCCGGTTTTAAAGCGCTTCACAGTACTGTGAAATTAAATATAAATGAGAGCAAAACAGAGGCCATTGTGTTTGGGCCAAATGGTGATGTCCCTTCCATTGACCTGGGTTCCCTGCAACCGTATGCAAAACCCATGGTCACAAATCTTGGCGTCAAAATCGACAGTGCTTTAAAATTAGATAAACAGATAAACTCTGTGGTTAAGTCCAGTTTTTATCACTTGAGGCTCCTGTCCAAAATCAAACCGGTTTTATCCTTTTTAGACTTTGAGCATGTAATTCATGCCTTTGATTCTACTCGTCTAGATTACTGTAATGCACTTTATGCCGGCCTAAACCAGACCACGCTGGCACGCCTGCAGCTGGTACAAAACGCTGCGGCTCGTCTGCTTACAGGAACACGCAAGCATGAGCACATCACACCTATTCTGGCTTCCCTCCACTGGCTTCCTGTCCATTTTAGAGTTCATTTTAAGATTCTATTGTTTGTTTTTAAATCGCTTAATGGGCTGGCCCCTCAGTACATCTCCGACCTCTTACAGGGGTACACCCCCTCAAGGGCTTTGAGGTCGGCTGATCAGCTGCGGCTGGTAGTCCCAAAAACAAGGCAAAAGACCAGGGGAGACCGAGCCTTCTCAGCGGTAGCCCCCAGGCTCTGGAACAACCTGCCCCCCCATGTCAAATTGTTGCCCACTCTTGAAGCTTTTAAGTCCCGCCTAAAGACCCACCTCTTTTCCCTCGCTTACCAGTCAGTCTGAGCTATGTTTTATCGATTTGTATGCTTTTATTGTCTGTCCATAGCCTTTATGTGCCTTGTATTTATTCTTATGTGTGCCTTTTATCTATTCGTGTAATATTATATTTTATTATAATGTTGGCAAACCCTCTGTTTTTAAAATGTGTATTGGATTGGATTGATTTGATCTGCACGGCTAGTTGGACTGATGTTCAATACATGTTACCACAGCAGCATTCACATCTGTCTGATAGGGTCTAATGCGATAAACCCCCCCATCCCCCCTTTCCTGGGTATTCCTCATCACCTGAGGCTCCTGTGGGTTTGTAGGCCCGGAGGAGCAGCACCATCACCTCACCTTGTTAGCCACATGTTCTCATCCTGTCACACACATATCAATCTTTGCAATGGCTGCTACGCTGTTTTTAGTAGTTTTCTGGCTCGGCTTTTAATTATAAAAAGGAACACTTTATTTCCAAAACAGTGGATCTCTGCAAGGTTTAATTGGAGGAAAACAGCTGTTTTTCAAGCTGCTATCATGAATATTTATCAGAGGCAGCGCAGTGTGACAGTGTTTGATAGACTTTGGTGTCGTATTTTTCTTTTTACTGCATTGACAGACAGCCAGGAATGGACTCCTACTAGTTCTGACGGTGTTGTATCATCCTGCTTGTGTGCATGGTACAAAGCCAGAGGTTTGGACGGAGATAACAGGCGGAAAAATATTTCTAATGATCCCAGCTGGCCAGCTGATGTCAGGGACAAAAGTCCACAGTGGGGGCTTTCTCAATTTTTCCCAGTAATTGCTCAATCACTCTCCACATAGGCCAGCCTGTTTAGAAAAGCGGTTTGCAACAAGATGGCATTTTTAAAAATGTATCAGATTAGAGGTGGTTTACGATGAATGTGATTGTCTGGCATAGTCTGAAAAATACAGTAGGTTATTCACTGTTCGATGTGAAATGACTGAGGCGTTTGGGTTCAGCAAATCATTGTGCCTTCATTTGAGCATTTGTCAACTTGGCGTCACCTTAACACCTGAGGAGTGTGAGAGATGCCTATTTTCTCTCCTTTACACCGTTAACGGCAGCTATTTGTTTCTGTTTTAATGGCAGATGAAATCGACTTGACAAACGATTATACCTCAGATAGAGGTCTCTATTTGCCTGTTTTTTAAGCAAATATTGCCATAAAATCTGCTTTCCACTGGGAACATTAGAAACAGTGTGCAGGCTGTGAAGCAGCCCATTCTGTCTTCCATTGAATTTCCCCTTCCAAGGAAACAACGCCCTGCTTATCGATTGAGCCACTCATTTCCCATGCATTAAACTTTTTGCTGTCTGAGGGGCACAGTTTGTTTCCGCACTAGTCAACCATTTAAAAGCTGCTGCTAGCCCTTAATTACAATTCAAATAGTTCTGTAGGCTTTACATCAGCAGCCTTTGCTGCTTTAATATGCCAAGGAAAACAAAAGGCAAAGTCTCCAATCAGCGGGGTAAGCCTGCCCAGTGGGACGTAGTTTCTCCGGGTCATTTAACCCTGGAGAGATTAGTGAGACAATTAGAGTTGGCCCAAAATAAGACAGTAGGCCACTTTTTGGAGACGCATGGTTTTAGTAGAGGTGGATAGGCGATTTAGAAGATGCTGCAGACCAGGAGAGAGCTAATATAGCCCATCTATTAGTCAATGTGCTCAAAAGACCAAAGGCCTTGTTCTACTGAACTTGTGGACAGTGCTCAAGGATGCTCTGCTCCCCAGTACTTAATTACAGGAAATCAGAGACAGGATACCAGGGAGTCTGCATTTTTGAACAGCCTAATTTGTCTCTGAACTGTCGTTGATGAGACGTCCTTATTAGCGCTGGGAGATTCTGCTGAAAGTAAAGGAATTTGTTCTTCAAATTAGAGCGAGAGAATCTAGGGACTCGCTTGGGAAAATGCAGGATCGGCACAACATAAGCAAATCTCTTAGATACTATTTATGGTGAGTGCCTCCCGCCAATAGCTGACGAATCCTCCCCAATGAATGGCCTATAATCACCAGTCAAAAAAAAAGTGACAACAGTCACAAAGCAGCCTTTAATTAGGCTCGTTCTTTGAAAGCTCCAAATCAGCAGTTGCTTGGACTCGGGACACATTCATTATTGCCTGTCGTCTCCTGATAATAAGACAGTTGTTGCGTGTTTGGCAAAAGCTGGAAGGCTCTGAGAATTTTCTAGCTTGAGGGACTAGTATTGGACTTTGGAAAGGGAGTCCATTCCGGGAAATGCTTGATGAATGAGGCTCTTGGCGCTTAACTGTCATCGTCCACATCCAGAGAAATCATGTTTATGCATTGGTCAAGGGCATCTGAAGGTGACAGTAGTATCAGATACCTTCTCTGGTAGTTTTTTTATTAGAGATGTATGAAGAGATTACTTATCCGGCTGGGTATTTATGTCTTGTGATTTATGCCAAATCTGGTTGTAATTGGACAAGGACAAAGAATAGATACCCTTCCTCAATTGTGTCTCAAGGGCATTTAGACTGAGAGAAAAATCAGGTGTTGACAGTTCCCTGGAGCCATCCTTCATTTCATCCTTTTACAACCTTGGGCGACTAAACACTGGCCAAATAAGATCCAAAATACGCAGGAGACAGGACGTTATTTTGAGAAACAGAGCGCCGTGAATACTTCCATTTCACATTCGTTACTGACAGTGTTCCCCAGAGGATGCTCCTTACTGACAGACAAAATAAACTCCTGGACAGAAATGTGGATTGTTCCAAGATGGTGGGATGCCAAAAATAAAGGTGCCTGCGGGCATACTTGCACTTTGAGAACACTACCTCTTTTTAAAGAATTGACATAACTCTTTGTCAGCTCTGGGAGAATACAGTAACTAAGCGGTCCACACCCATTATCCCTTAGATGTGGGGGAAGACACACACACACGCGCGCACACACACACACACACACACTTTCTCTCCTGTAATTTATTTCTACCGGAGCCTTTCCCTGTGTTCTTGACAGTAAGCCTAACTCGGAGAGAGACAGAATTAATTATGGCTCCTCGCCCTATCTTAATTAAATCATTTCACATCATAGATTTCACACGAGAGGAAAAATATCTACCTCATCTTTTAGCCCGGGCGGGGCGCCGGCTGCGAACGTATCGCATCAAGCTATCAAAGGTTCACTGTTAAGTTTCATCTCCAGGATTACAATTTCACAGAAGAGTTGTCATGTCCGGCTTTTACCGGAGAGCAGCATGTTAGCCAACTATTGCAGGGACTGGAGGGGGGGGGGGGGGGGGGGGGGGGGGGGGGCTGATGGGTGCAGCAGGCAGCCTTGACTGTATCAACAGAAAAGTTTGTTGCCCTTTTAAACTACACAGAGCTTTCAATTGCACAGCTGTACTCTGTATCCTTGGTTAGGGTGCTATGTCTAGTTCTGTGTCTGTTGACTCGGCGGATGCTTTTGAGATTCTCAGTATGATGTTTTTTGTTCATCAACAAAGGTAAAAGGCAATGACATTAGCCAAGTCTCGTCAACAACCCACCTCTAACCGACCTTGTCAGCGTTCAGGCTCGACTCTGCTTGAAGTATCGATCTGCAAAAATAGGTTAAAAGCTGTCGTCCAAAGAGAGAAAAACAATACTCAGATACTAGAAAATTGAGTGGGCCCAAACTATTTTCTTTGAATTTAACTGAAACAGTGATTATTGAAACAGCTAGCAATGCTTTTAAACGTTCGAAGGGCTGCAGAGTAACTCCCGCCACTTGTTGACTCAGGTTATTCCAGGACCTCGGACTTTGTAAGGCTCAGCAGTTGTTTGATGTGGACGGAGAATACCCTGAGCTATCTGCGGCTGTGATCAGGAAGCTGTCAGCCAGAACCAGATAGCCATGTCGGATTTGTTGGCATTGGGCCTCTCTGCTATATAGAAACTAGACAGAGGTGTGATCTGGAGT